AATAATTTAAAGTGAAATCCATATTTTTGCAAGTTACCTTCGCATAACCTAAAATAATCGATAAAATGGCGAATACAAAACGAAAATGACAAAGTAGTTAATTTAAAGTAAGAGAAATATTCAAAAGTAGAATTCGATAGAATGTTATTCTACAATGTTCAAGAGGAAATTGAATCTCTCACATTTACTTTTACTATTATTGCTAGTGTTATTATTATTATTATTATTTTGTTTTATTTAATCGTCGTGTCATTTGGTCGAATATAAATGGTGTTTGTGGATATTCACTTTGGATCAACTAAATTGTTTTCAAAAACCATTCTATTTTTCATTAAAAGCTTTGTTTGACCGCACGTATTTTATCCATAAATAATTCTCAATACGCACCTGAGGATTTACGATGGTTGACACATAAAATCAAATGAAATCAATAATTTCATATAAATTTTAAAAATCACAATACGAAAAAGGACCTTTATCATTTTTCATCTAATTATTTTTTTTCATGGGTAATTTAATACTAAAGTAATCGCAATTTGTTGTCAAATAAATTTCCTATTAAATTTATCCAAAAAAACATAACTATATTACTTGGCCCTTATTAAAATTGACTTGTATAATTAAACTAATCTATTTAAATTGTTGTAAATGAACAATTGATGAAACATTAATCGAACATTGATTATTATTTCAAGATCAAACACAGACGCAACAATTACAAATATTATTCCATTATTCGTTCCTACACCGATTTATTTAATACTTAAATTATGAAATTCCTCAAAGAGATTTATATAAAAAATACTCTTTTTAAGTGTCCTTTGTAATAAATCAATAAGTTACTAGTTTTTCTTTTATATCCAATTATATTTCCTTTACCGATGGAATTACTTTTAGAAGTGATTGAAACTGATTGAAGAAAGATACAAAACTGTAAGTAAAGTTAAATGGAAAAATTGTAGTCACCTAATATATAGTTATAATATTGTAAGTGTAAGGATTTGAAAAGCTTGACTATAACAGAATCATCTAATGTAAGTGAATCAAAGTGAGAATTCTCATCTCATCTCCTCACTTCTCCTCTTCTATATATCTATTCTGGCATCTCGGTCTCTAATACGTCATTGAGAATGGCCAGGTTACTATGCTTGCATGATTATTCGGCTGAATGAGTATTTCCATGTCCCGGTAACATCATCACTTGACCTGATCGGCTAGCTCGACCATAACTTCATCGATTAATTCACATGCGTTAAAGCTCGCGCTCCCATCTTCAATTCTTGTTTCTCTTTCCTTTCTCTTTCATCTATTATTTATTTTTATTTTTTTTTTATATCGATTTTAATATTTTATTAATTGTAACGTGTATTATGATTGGACATATTAAATTTTGTTAATAACAATTTTTCGTGCTTTCTATATTTTATTATAATTATATATATTACATTTATTTATATATTATTATATACTAAGTATTAAATTTATTAATTTATTATTATATATTAAATTATTAATATTTAAAATATTATGTATTAAATTAAATATATTAAATTATAATTAATAAATTAAATAAAATAATATAATATAATATATATAATACACTTAATTATAATATATATTATAATTATTTAATATATAATTTATATAATATTATATTAATTTTTTTTTCGCGACTTGTAGGAGGATTCGATCGTACGATCCCATGATCACTAATCGATTACTTTACCAACTGAGCTATTACGCTTGCATATTAAATTAATATATTAATATTTTAAATCATTATAAAATTTACCAATTATTGCAATATATATTTTATTTAAATAAATATTTGATTTCATGAATTATATTATAAATAAATATACATAAAAAAATGTATTATTCTATACAGAACATCCTTTTAAATTTTTTATTTTTTTTTTTCTAATCGTTTAACGAAAAAATTGTAATGGACCTAACGACGAACAAAATTACGGTTAAAGTTAACATAACCTAAAAAGAAACAAACAATAAATGAATTTACCCGATAAACGAATACATTTTTTTGCTCTTCTTCGTCGTTGAAATTTTTTTTGTCGAAGTGCATAAAGAATTTAAAAAAGAAAAAAGTTATTAAATAATAATATTGCATTTTCTAACAAGTAAAAGATGGTTAAAGAGGACTGTCACGAGGGTACATTAGTTCCATTAAGTGAGCAAGGACGAACTATATTTATCGGACGCTAACACGTATAATACTAACTTGTCTCGTTCCTCGGATTTTCTTTCTCCATTTTTACGATACAAGAGAGCCTCTTGTTCCTGCATTTCTCTTTTTTTTTTCTCTTTTTCTTCTCTTTTACTTTCTCGCTTGTCGTACTTTATATTTCAAAAATTATTCTCACTACTCATAAGAGACTAAAAATTACGTTTTCACTAGGCTTTTCTCTGTTCATATCATCATGCGAACATATCATCATGATGATAGCTGGTTCATTTTTAATGCAACAGTCTCGACTACGATGGAAAATGGAAGAAAAGTAAATGAAATATTAAAAGCGTTGATGCGCAACAAGTAGGACGTGCATTGTATATTTATAAGGGAATATGTCAATAACTGATCGTACGTTGATAATAATATAAATTTAATTTGTTATTTAACGTCTAATCAAAATTACATATATATATATATATATATATATAATTACCAAAATTACTACAAAAATAAATATTAAATAACTTATATAAATTCTTATATTATTATAAAATTTATATAATATAATATAATAATTTTAATATATTTAATATACATTAATTTTATAATAATTAATTTTATATATATATATATAATTAAAGTATAATATATATATGTTATATATAGATAATATATATATATCTAGGTATACAATTATATTTTACATATTTTAAATATATATACATATATAGATATAATTAGTGAAGATCGTTGTGGTAATCTACACAAGTACGTATATATTACGTTTTTACTAGTAGTACGAATTTCTATATACTCACATTTATACGAACACATATATTTAAGTGTATATGTACGTATATACTTGAAGTATGTTGAATGGGGTAAGTCGTCCATTAGGAAGCTTCACGATCTGCTGTTGAGAACAACGTCGTGTGCAAGAACAGAAGTACTTGGCAGTTATAATATAAGAAAAACCTAATTCACAAATCTCTCGAGCCAAATTTTCAATTCAAAATGGCTGCCTTCACGCCTCTGACATTTCCAGAATTTGTTGTTTTGCTCGTAAAAATTCTCCATTTATTTCGCGTTTAATCGTAAAATTTTTTAAGTAGTAAAATAAAGAATAGAAATCCTTATTGATCTTTTATATAATCTTATATGGTATAATATTATACATAGGTTATGTGTCATAAGCAGGTTGAAGATCAACCATCTTTTGTTTCATCTTTTAAAATGGCGAACTATTCGTAGTAGAAAAAAAAAGAAAAGAAAAGAAATGAAAGAAAGTAGAAAATCTTGTCAAGTGTAATCCACTTGTTTAAAAATTTTATATCTTATGCGTTTATGTTGATATCTTTAATGGTTTCGAGATTGACTCTTATAAATCATGTTATATTTTATGACCTGTGACGGGGAAGGATAGACGTTTCGCATTTCAAATCTTCACGCCTGTAATTTTCCTTTACACAATGGAAGTACTCCTTGAGATTTTATTTTCTGATTTTCATTTCTCTCTTCTACCATACATAAATACATTAATTTTATATATTATTCGATAAAATATTTTAAGCAAAATACAATATACATATATATATATATATATATATAATATTTTATTATATTATTATATTATATTATTATATTATTATGAACATATCAAATCTTATTTTTCATATTTAACATTTTAACAACCAGTGAAATAAAATTCATAAAAATTTTTTTTGTTATTATTATTGAAAAAAAATTCGGAGAATCTCCCAACTTATCATCATCATCATCATCATCTTGAAATATACCACTCGTTCTGAAAAATAATTCATAAAATTTATTTAATCGAGCGTATTTATGAATAATCGATAAAAACGAGAACGATGACTCTAAGTGTTGAAGGAGACCTTTCAGATTTTTTCGTCCTATAAAAATGTAAATAATTATTCATGATTTTATACATTAATGTTATTCGTCACCTCGAAGTTTAATAATGATTATATTAAAAAAAAAAAAAAAAAAAAAGATGAGAACAGAGATAGTTTTGAAAGATGAGAGATTATCCAGACAATTTTAATTATTTAAAATTGTATGCATTGTTATTTGATAAAGAACATCCTGTTTAATTTAACGATAAAATAATGAAAAAAATATGACGATGATAATTATCGTGATATGACGCATTTGGAATATCTTAAAATAATTTTTTTCTCTTTCTTAGAAAATACTTACAAAATTTGACTAATACCGTTAAAAATAGTGATACACCTGCGTCAGATTTGCGTCATTAACGAGATACGAATCTTTTATCAAACCGGATAGTAGAACTCTCGGTACATTATTATATAAATCATTGTCATCATTATCAAGACAACAGTGTTCACTTTCGCACGAACATTGAAAATTGAAATACGTGTAAGAACTTTCTATTAATCAACTAAATCATTAATTATAATTATAATCAAATAATAATCATCAAATTTTATCTTTAAGGGACCAAATTTTTATAGTTGTAACAAATAAGCTATATAAAAAAATAAAATAAATATAATCAAAAGAAACTACGAAATAATAGATAAAATTATAATATTAATTAATATTAATATTAATTAATTATATAATGTAAATATATAAAATAACAATATTAATATAAATATATAAAATTATAATATTAATATATAATATTAATTAATAATATTAATTTAATTTAAAATATTGTAATAAATAAGCTATTTAAATGGAAAAAAAATTTAAACAAACTACAAAATAATTTACACAAACAATTATAATATTAATTTAATTTTTCTATTATATGTTGCAGAATTAGAAAAAGAAAAACCTAAATTATCTCCAAGATGCCTCTATCGGAATTTCGCAAGAAGAAGTTGCTTTACGTCTTCAACGCCTTTTTCGGTGAGTAAATTCTGACAGTTGGTTATGGCATCCATTGGCAGATAGTCGAATTAGTAGTAGTACCCTTGAGAATTTTTCTCGACTCATCGAAAGTCACGTTTTACTCGCATAGTCTTTTTTCCACCTTACCTTTTATATACTAACTCCAAAAACTTACGGCCGAAATAACAAACGGTCTTCTCCTTCGATGAACCATTTCTCTCTATCTCTTACTTACACATACACATACACTAACTCAGATTCATTCTTTCAACGAGTACTTTGATATTACGCGAGATATATCGTCATTTCCTTCTTTCCTTCACGAACACATCTTTATATTCTCTAAACGATTCTATTTCATTCTACCTCATCTCTTTTTTTCTCTCATTCTCACCTTGGATAATCTTTAACACGAGCAAAGGCCTCCATTCGTCGTTTCTACATCGAAAGAAAACGTTAAAAGACTGTGAGAGAAGAAAAAGAAAAAAAAAGGAAAAGGAAAGAAGATGATAATAAAAGAGTAAGATGAAGAAGTAAAGATGGGTTTTTCCCCTTATTCTAGGATAGGGGGAGGGGACGGGAAAAAACTGTTTTACAGCCCTATGCGAATCTCTTGAGGCTCCTTTTGGGTTCTCTGAAAGTGGAATCAAGGCTATATAGAGTGAGAGAGAAAGATAGAAGGGTGTTTTGTACAGCACCTACTAGGTGTTCGTTGAGATAGACCGTACCCGCCTATTTATGGTATCAACCAGGAGGAGATAAACAATGGACGCGTTGGGTCTGGATAAGAGGGTCGCCTTGCCATGATAGAATTATTTCTGCGAATGTGTATACCTAACATATACATGTGAACACATATATACACACATAGAAAGAGTATAGCTTTGTAATCCTTCTTTCTCTGGGTCTTCATTTGTGTGTATGTTATACTACATATATATGTGTGTATGTGTATGTGTAGCATCAACGTGTCTTTATTAACGTTTACCCATACCAGTTAAGAATATGTGTATATGTTTATATGTTAGGGCACGAAAGGGAGAAGCACGATGATATTACAACACACACATACACACATAGATATTTTCTCGTATATGAATCATGGAGGTCACAGGCGTGTACACGCCTGATAGATCTCGTTAGTCCCTCACTTTCTTCGCCTCTTTGACCGTCGCGATTGGCCGCTAAACATATCCTACGATCGTTCTCCATCGTCGATTTATCGACACATTATTCCAGCATGGCCGATGGTGCAACAAGGGACTTATTACTCGTCCTGGACACACGAGTGGTTTTTACGTTCTTTTCCTTTACTTTTTTTTCTAGATTTTTCTTTTTGTCCGAGAATTATTACCGTAATCAAAGAGTCAGTGGAAAATTCGAGATGGGACCACTAACTCGATGATGCATCGACTAAGATCAATTTGATCCAGTGTTGTACTTTCCTCTTATTCACTCACTCACTCTCTTTCCCTCTCTCTTTCTATCTATCTATCTATCTATCTATCTATCTATCTATCTATCTATCTATCTATCTATCTATCTATCTATCTATCTATCTATCTATCTAT